GTCTTGAACTCCTGACCTCAGGTGATCTGCATGCCTCGGCCTCCCAAAATGCTGGGATTACAGGCGATAGTCACTGCATCCGGGAGTTTTCTTACCTATAAAATGATAGTTCAGGATGTTAGCAACCGTGAATCTGTATGAGTCTGCAGCAACTTCAATTCTTGCCTCCTCAGAAGAAAGAATTTGACTGAGGAGTGTAAGTCAGAAAGGAGAGACCGAGGCAAGGTTTAGAGAGTGTCGATGAAAACAGTCAAACTGTGTTAAATATTTGAAGACATTTATTCTGAACCAAATATGAGTGACACAACCCTCAGGAGGTCCTGAAAACATGTGCCCAAAGTGGTCAGGGTGCAGCTTGGTTTTATACATTTTAGGGAGGCAAGAGACATCAATCAAATACATTTGAGAAATACATTGGTTTAGTCCAGAAAGGTGGGGCAATTCAAAGGAGGGCAGGCACCTTCCAGTCTATAGGTGAATGTAAACATTTTCTGGTTGACAGTTGGTTGAGTTTGTCTAAAGACCTGAGATTAATAGAAAGGAAATGTTCAGGTTAAGATAAAAGATTGTAGAGACTAAGATTCTTCTTTAGTGGCTGCCCTTAGAGACAATAGATGACAAATGTTTCCTATTCAGACCTTTAGAAGGTGCTAGACTCTCAGTCAGGTGCGGCGGCTCACACCTGTAATCCTAGCACTTTGGAGGGTGGGGCGCGGGGGCAGGGTGGGTGGTGCTGAAGCAGGTGGATCGCAGTGAGACCAGGAGTTCAAGACCAGCCTGGTCAGTGTGGTGAAACCCTGTCTCTATTAAAAATACAAAAATTAGCTGGGTGTGGTGGCAGGCACCTGTAATCCCAGTTACTCGGGAGGCTGAGGTAGGAGAATGGCTTGAACCCGGGAGGCAGAGGTTGCAGTGAGCTGACATGGCAACACTGCACTTCAGCCTGGGCAACAGAGTGAGACTCTGTCTCAATAAATAAATAAATAAACAAATAAATAAATACATAAAGGTGCTAGACTCTTAATCTCTTCAGGTGGGAGGGCCTGGAAGAAAAATATCTAGCTATGTTACCAGAAATTCTTTACAGATGCAAATTTTCCCCCATAAAGGATGGCTTTGCAGGGCCATTTCAAAATATGGCAAAGAAACATGTTTTGGGATAAAATATTTTGATTCTCTTGTCATGTAATATTATGCCAGAGTCAGACTAAAAAGTCACAATATATAGGGTTAAATAAAACCCATCTGATGAGAATTTTTGGTCTGTAGGGCACGACTCCCCAGACCCCTTAGATAGGAATTTGGAAGATAAGAAAAAATCAGAGCTTAGTCCTCAAGCAGGAGTGAAAGTTTATTCAAAAGCTTTAGAGCAGGAATGAAAGGAAGTAGAGTACATTTGGAAGAGGGCCAAGGGGGCACCTTGAAAGATCGAGTGCACAGTTTGACCTTTGACTTGGGGTCTTATAGGCTGGCATACTTTCAGGGTCTTGGGTTACTTCTCCCAATTCTTCCCTCGGGGTGGGCTGTCCACATGTGCAGTGGCCTGCTAGCACTTGGGAGGCGAGTATGCACGGTGTATTCGCTGGAATTGTACAGATGCTTTCTCGAGGCGTTCTTCCTTTACCAGTGTAGCATTCCCACAGGAAGGTCATTTACCAATTAAACTCCGCCACTTTGGCTCTTAGTGCACGTGCTTGAGCTCACCCGCCCAGTTCCTGAGATCTTATTGGGAAGCTGCTGATCATCACTTTCAGGTTTTTTCTATCTATTTGGAGCCTGCCTTTCCCTGGTGCTGGCTGCAACCAGTTATTATTTGAGAGAGACAGTGTAACAACCATCTGACTCACCTGATGGTCACCTGACATTCCTGGTTGGGGTGGGGGGCCCTCTCCTGCACTGCACATGTCTGCCTGACTATCTACTGTAACAAGGACACCATCAGATGATTGCTAAGGTTTCTCCCCATGTGAGGAGTCCTGAGAAAATGGTATTATTGGAGATACTGAAGAGTCCTCAGAGAAAGTCTAGATGGCCTAGACAGCCTGTGGCGCTCCATGTCACCCTGCCACCAACGTCTCGCTATCTTTTGTCATCCTCTGATCTCCTCCTGCTCAACCCTATTTCAGGGGAGGAGGAAAGAAATGTAGAAAAGATAATGAGGCAAAGTGGCGATGGGTAGTGAGAGGATGATGAAGTGGTAGATAATGGGAGAGTGGAGGGAAGACACAGAAATTATACACATATACTTTTTTAGAGAAAGGATATGGGGAAAAGATAGGGGGCATCAAAGAAAGAACATTTACCTTCTTTTTTCATCAAATAAAATAATCGCTGACATTTATTAAGCCCTTGTCCTAGGCCTGGCACCTTGTTCAGTTTTTCACATGCATCATTTCATTTAGCCCTCATACATCTCATTTTATAGATAAGTGAGAAACAGACTTATAAAATTAATCAGTGTGTCCAATATCACTAATTAGTAAGAGATAGGACAAGGCACTGAACTTTATTATCTTTGACCCCTGAGCTTGTACTTATAAATACTAGCCCACATGGCTTTCCTACCAGCATTTCCTCTGAGCTAGGGAATGTCACCATTTTCCTTATGGCCATCAGCATTTAGACTCGATGTCATTGCTGACCTACAGTGATGAGCTCATCACCATAGGCAGACAGATAGGCAGGCACCTAGCCATGCACTCACTCACCCACTGATGACACTCAGGAAGGCTTCGTGAAGACAAGTAAAGACAATGAATATTATAAATAGAAAGTATTTCTTGTGAGGTGCCATCATGTAGGGAAAGCTTCTTAACTAACTCTGGCTGGGTCTAATGTTGAAACTAATTCTTGGCTGGCAAGGTGGCTCACGCCTATAATCCCAGAACTTTGGGAGGCCAAGGTGGGCAGATCACAAGGTCAAGAGATCGAGACCATCCTGGCCAACACGGTGAAACCCCGTCTCTACTAAAAATACAAAAATTAGCTAGGTGTGGTAGCACATACCTGTAGTCCCAGCTACTCGGAAGGCTGAGGCAGGAGAATCACTTGAACCATGTAGGCAGAGGTTGCAGTGAGCCGAGATCATGCCACTGCACTCCAGCCTGATGACAGAGACTCCATCTAAAAAAAAAAAAAAAAAAATTATTTATTGTTCTTTCTGGGTAGAAGATAGTTCCTGCACATGTGCCCAGAAGATCACAGGTACCTGTGGTTTGTTGGGGGATAATATACATAAAAATAAGTGGTGAATATCCATAGCTAACCACAGCAAATGTTCTCAGTATTATACCTATCAGAAAACCCAAGAAAGCCTCATTGTAGGATATCTCTAGGTCACCCTCTAGCGATTATGATTGATGATCACAGAGCTGTGATGCGATGATGTCCCATTAGGGGTCTTCCACCTGCTTATCATTTCTCTGCCTGATATTTCAACTGTAAATTTGTGAGGAAATTTGGGAAAGACTGCATCAGACCCCTATCCGATAGTCTCCAAGCTGTATGCACTTTCCCTGGATCTTTCTCTGTTTCAATGCAGGGATATTACATCGGTTTTGGAATCACTCAGAGTCACGTTCAAATTCTGCCTCTGCTGTTTATTGAGTGAGAAGCAGTGGTACGAATCCCTTGTCCTTGAAACTGCTGCATTCTCTCCTGTAGAAAGGAATTACGGCAGGTGTTATGAGGATCAGGTGAGCTAGCACACACAATGCACCAGCACAGGGCCTGGAATATGGCAGGTGACCACTCACTGCAAACTCTTATTCTTCATGTTTCAGTTATGTATTGCTATATAAAATACCAATCCAGGCCTTAGCGGCCCCCAGGACTACACCCATTTGTCATGAAGAGCTTTACTTGAATAATAACCATTTATTTGCTCATAGTTCTGTAATCTGGGCTGGGTTCTTCTACTGGTCTCACCTGGGGTAGTTCATGCTCTCATGCTGACCATCAGGAAGCTGAACTGGGGCCAGAAATCCAAGACAGCATCACTCACGTGCCAGGAAGCCTGGCTGGGGTGCCTGGGCCAGCTCGGATTAAGCCTCTGCCTGGTGTAGTGCTCTGTTGTCAGCACCTTAAAATTCTTAACAATTTTAAAACAAGGAACCCTGCATTTCATTTTACACGAATCCCTGAAAATTGTGTAACCAGTCCTTGCAGCTGGATCTCCTTCTATACTAGCTCAGGGCTCCAAGGGAGTGAAAGCAAAAGCTGGCAGGCTTCTTAAGACCAAGGTTAGAACTGGTATGGTATCACTTTGCCACATTCTATGGGCCAAAGCAATTCACAAGGCCATCCCTGATTCCAGAAGAGGAGCAGGAAAATCTTTATGGCCATCACTCGACCTCCATTTCCTACTTTCAGCATTTTCAGCAACTGGGTCCTGAGAGAGCTCTTCTGGTGCTAAGAAGCAGATACCTCCCCAAGTGACCTCATAAAAAGAGGAGTATGTGGTAGAGGGTTGGAAATCTCTCAGAAATGAGGCATAACCCCATCTTAGGAAAGTGGAAAGAGTTAGAAACTCAGGATCTGAGGCTACGCCTTGCTTCTCAGTGGTCACATTGACTTCCTTGGTCAGTCATGGCTTGAGGGGAGGTCAGGGAAACTGGTCACTCAGAAGAGACAGCTGCCCTTTACAGAGACTGTGGGCAGGCCAGCTCTCTATAAGAGGCTGTGAATAAGCTAGGGTATATCCCCTGATAGAAATGTTTTTTATCAGCCATTTATGAAGCACCAATAATTATATGTAAGACAGTATCTTGGCCTACAGGGATATGACTCTAGGAGAGCAGGGCTTCTTTGTTTCAGTCACATAAGGGTATATCTCTTTAACTCTAATTGAAGTCGGGGATGGGGGCAGGTGAATAATCAGAGGTTTATTCTTACTGTCCTTGTGCTTGGGGAGTCAGCCCCAGTCCTTGGTGACTGGCTCACATATCCTCATGTGGCTAGCAACACCCACCTACCATGGCGGTGCAGGAGAACGCTTAACTCACTGTTATCTCCAATGCCTGGGTCCAAGCGATTCTCGCCTCAGCCTCCGGAGTAGCTAGGACTACAAGTATGCACCACCATGCCTGGCTAATTTCTTTTACAGAGATGGAGGTCTTGCTATGTTACCTAGCCTGGTTTCAAACCCCTGGCCTCAATCAATCCTCCCACTTTGGCCTCCCAGAACCCTGGGATTACAGGGGTGAGCCCCCGCACCTGGCAGAGAATGCATTCTTTTACCAAAAATGCCAATTCACCTCAAAGAAAAGTTGAGTGAAGAAGGATGAGAAATTGTGACTTTATCTTACTTACTTTGGTCCCGCTCCAAAGAAGATGACAGACTGAGGCCCACAGAAGCAGGGATTCCCATATGGACTTGGGAATGTCATTACCATCTCCTTGGGGCATGCAGAGGAGAGCGGTCACCATCTCTTGACCTCTCTCGTCAGCATGCTTCCCACTTCCCTACTCTACTTCCTCATGGTTTCCTTCCTTCGTGCCCTCAGTCTAGTGTCCCTACCCCTGTCCTAGAGACCCCATCTCTTTTCCCCAGTACATAGCACCCCTCCTCGGTCCCTTATCACACATTCCACTCAGCTGGCGCTAACGCTTTCCTTGGCCCAGCTTTGCCAGCTGTGAAAAGCAAGGGGTGAGGTGCAGTCCATGAGATGGTAGAGATGATATAATTGATGATCAGATCCAGGGCAGGCGCCCAGCAGCAACAGCTGTGGCAAATTTCTATATAAGCTAGCTGAGAAACAAGCTAATAAAATGAGCTTATTTCCCAGTGACAATGCAATCTAGTGTTCTATGACCAGCTCCTCGCAAAACAATAACCCTGGCATTATGACAAGATTCACGTTAACTGTGCAGGGCCCTGTCTTGACTACCCAGGTGGCTAGCATCTACTTGGATAAGAATGTCCTGATCTTCAAATCTCTTCCCCGATAAAAAGAGGGCGGCTGCTCTCAAGGAACTTCAGTCAAGGGGAGTGGGGGAGACAGTCCCATACGCAGACAAAAAACTAGAGGGTGAAAGGTCAATGAGTGGTGGGAAGGAGAGGGAAAGAAGCTTCCAGAAGTAAGTGCTGAATGGGAGATTAAACTTGGCTGGGGGCCACGGTGGAGCACAGGTGTAATGGAGGGTGGAGCCTCTTTCAAACCTCACTCCTCGCTGTGTGCGCGCCTGTCCGTTTCCACTGGAGTGGCGGTGTTTTCTCGAGGCAGGGGATGGCTTGCTTCCATCTGGAGTCTTCGCTAGAACTCCCTCCTCCTCCTGCTTCCTTTCACCCATTCATTCCAAACATACGTTGAGCTGCACATTCTGGGTTCCCAACTGGAAAGGCCTCACGAGGGAGATTTTAGGACTATGCCCACTTGCCACGATTTTACTTTACTTGGTTCCGACTTCTACTCCTTTCCCTGAGCTTCACAGGTTTTGGGCAAAAAAGCCCACAGCCTCCCTGAGTCCTTCAGTTACGCTGCGCACCCTCTCACTTTGCTAGTTTCCAACCACTCGCTGCTGAATAGGTTGGAACACTTCTGCTTCCGATGCTCCGAAACACCCTGGACGCATGCGCAGTAACTCTTTCCCCCCAACCCCGCCCCCTGGTCGCCTTCCCCGCCGCCCCGGGCGGTGCTTGCTGTCTCTAGGCCCCATTTAAAGCGCTGCGTTTGCTGGGGAGCTCTTAGTTCAATTCTTGGTGGATTAGGGCCATTGAGAGTCTTAATCAATTGTTGGGTTCCACGCGATCCTCTTTAGAAACTTTTTGCTTAATATGCATCTAGAGACATTCACGGCCCGCCTGCAGAGTTGGAGCCGTTGGCGTGGAGCCTGGGAGGCTGCAGGCAACCCCCAGGCTTCTAAACAGCAACGTCAGTTTAATTATTACAGATCCGTTATGGCTGCCAAGTCCTCTCTTTCTTCCTGGTTATTAACGGGAAAACTTGCTGCCCAGTGGCTTTGTTTCAAGTGATGGTCCGTGTGCTTTGATACCCTCAGGGAGCACTTACAGGCTAGGTGGACACAGGTGGGCTGCGGGACTCCGTGTGTTTACCTTCCAAAGGAATGCACTGCAAACATGCTGCACACAGGAGACAGGGAAGCCTGGCGAGGTTGGGTTTCCAGGTGCCACTGTATGCCCTATCAGTTCCACTGATACCCTTTCTTTCTTCTACTTGGAGGCCCTGGTCGCTGGCTCTCGCCAGACAATGCAAACTGGCACTACAAGTGGAATAGACCAGACATTTATTTTCTGGTAAATCAGGCCTCTGTCCTGCCTGCATCTTTGGCCTGATTCTGATTAATGTTGTCAGAAGCAGATGCAATGTGTGGGGGTGTTGGCTAAACTTTCTGGAAGTGTCTATTGTAAATAGTGTTACCTTACATTTTGGGCAGCACTTTTGAGATTCCAAAGCACGTTCCCATGCATTATCTCATTGGGTTTCCTCACTAGATTGGAAGAAGGTGGAGGAACTCTTACCCTCTTTCACAGTGAAAACACCCTGAAGCTCAGAGCAGTGTAGTAACTTTGCCAGAGTTGCAGGACAAGAAAGTGAAGGAATAAGAAACCAGGTCTTCTGGTCCTTAGTCTAGACACTTTTGGCAGTCACACATACTTTTTTATTATCTCACTAATAACCCTGATAATCTTGTTGGATAACAGAACAATTTGTTCATCCGTGTCGTGTTCTCTCATTGCATGAAGGAAGTGATGAGGGAACTGATTTCTCAGTTGGTTTTTAGAGCTATAATGCCTTGAAAATCACTCCCTTATCCTTGCAACCAGTGATTTGTCATCTCCCAATATGGGGTAAAAATAGTAAAGGTAAAAACTAGCTGCCAAGCTAATGCCACAAAAATCAAGTAGGAACTGCGCTGGATTCAGTAACGTCGATCCAGAGAGAGCACTGCTCCTCAAGACGGGTGCAGCACCAAGGACTTAGGGATTAGGAATGTGTACAGCTCTCCAAATTGTTTTCAACCAAGGCAATGCTGCATTTCCTCCAGTAATTTCATAATTAAAAACTTAGTGATGATCAGAAATTTAGATCGTTTTTGTTTGTTTGCTTGTTTTTTTGAGACCGGGTCTTACTCTGTTACCCAGGCTGGAGTGCAGTGACACAATCGTAACTCACTGCAGCCTTGAACTCCTGGGTCGGTGCTTCAGCCCCCCTACTATCTGAGACTACAGGCAGGCACCACCATGCCTAGGTAGTTTTTGTATTTTTTGTGGAGATGGGGTTTTGACATGTTTGCCAGACTAGTCTTGAACTCCTGGGCTCAAGTGAACTGCCAGCCTTGGGATTATAGGCATGAGCCACCGTGCCTGGCCAGAAATTTAGTTTTTAAATCAGGCTGTGTGAGGTTGGGTTTAAGAATATTGAAGCTTGGCTCACGTCTGTAATCCCAGCACTTTGGGAGGTCGAGGCAGGCGGTTCACCTGAGGTCAGGAGTTTGAGACCAGCCTGACCAACACGGTAAAACTCCATCTCTACTAAAAATACAAAAATTAGCCGGGCGTGGTGGTGGACGCTTGTAATCTCAGCTACTCAGAAGGCTGAGGCAGGAGAATTTCTTGAACTAGGAAGGCAGAGGTTGCAGTGAGCTGAGATGGTGCCACTGCACTCCAGCCTGGGCGACAGAGTGAGACTCTAAAATAAATAAATAAATAAATAAATAAATAAATAAATAAATAAATAATATTGAAGCTATCATCTAGGTTTGAGGGAAAGCAGTAGAAAGGGGAAACATTCTCTTAAATTTTGCCCATGCATTAATCATAGGAAAAGTCAAGAGTGAATGGAAAGTCATTCCTCTGGGACCAAGTGATCCTTGTTGACTAATTTTCTTTAGGAGCTGGTTTTACCTCAGAGTTACAGAAAAGGAACAGTCTAGCAGACATCATCACTGATGGCTACCTTCATTCATTACTTTGGTTACTTATAAACATTCATTGAACACCCACTTTGGGCCAGGTACCAGGGATACAATGATGAGAAAAGACACAATTTTGATGCTTAGCTTTTTCTGTTGAAACATAATTGTATTCTATTTTTCTGTTGCCTTCATTTTTCTCCCACTCCCGCCCCCCAACTCCATCTAGCTCTCTAGTTTTGATTCCCGGTCGTTTGCACCATTTTTGGTAAGACACTCCAGAAAATGAATTACTGGTACAGCAAGACATTCCCTCCCCCACTCATCTATTCCAATTCCCATTTTTCTTCAGGATTTAAACCCCAAGTCTTCCTTCTTCATACATTGCAAATCCTCTACTGGGGATGGTCCTACAAGGCCAGTGATGGTGAATATTATATGAATTAGATTGTAATCTTTGCCTCTACATAAATTTCTTCTGACTGCATCTGCTTTAAAGCAAAATCTCCTGTAGTGAGCCTTGTGGTTTAACTGTCTTTCCCCTTCTTGATTCTCCAAGGAACTCCCAGTCCCCCTGTTGTCAGCCATATGGTTTCAGTATTGACCCAACTTGTAGCTTGAGGGAAGAACCTTGGTTAGCATGAGCCATTCTAATCAGAGTGAACCCAAGGAATTCCACTGGGAATTCTGGGACACAGGAGCTGTCTTCTTTGTGGGGAGTGGTGGTATGGGATTGTGAAGCTCAGGGCTGCTAATGCCATGATGGATGAGCCCAGAATTTCCAGGGAGCACTGCTGAAAGCCTGAGGGTGAGTGCCAACCAAGAGGAAGCAGAGATGGAAAATGGACTTAGGACATGATTTTGAATCAAGCTGGGTCTGAATCAATGCTATCTCTGAATTATTCTGCCAAGTGAACTACTAAACTCTACCACCCCCTTTAAAAATGCCAATTTGACTTTGGTTTTCTATCACTTATGAAAAAAAAGATTGCCAGTTGAACCCTACCTATCTAAGGCAATGGGAAGTACTGCTTTAAGCACACACACACACACAAATACAGGATGTTCATACCCCGGCCATACCCTGAATTCTAAGAATATATTTATAACCTTTAGGTTTGTTTGCAAAATGATACATAATCAGTAATAGTTTTACAACATTTGAGATAACAAACATTTAAAAATGCATTCAAGACTGGGCGCGGGGGCTCACGCCTGTAATCCCAGCACTTTGGGAGGCCAAGGTGGGTGGACCATGAGGTCAGGAGATTGAGACCATCCTGGCTAACACAGTAAAACCGTCTCTACTAAAAAATACAAAAATTTAGGCAGGCGTGGTGGCGGGCGCCTGTAGTCCCAGCTACTCGGGAGGCTGAGGCAGGAGAATGGCATGAACCCAGGAGGCTTGCAGTGAGTGGAGATGGCGCCACTGCACTCCAGCCTGGACAACAGAGCAAGACTCCATCTCAAAAAGAAGAAGAAGAAAAAAATACATTCAAAGCAAAACAAAAGTTCCTGGTCTTTGAAAGCATACTTGCAACCACAATTACCAATGACAACTCTAAATTTTGTTTTCTTTTGAAAACAGATCTATTGCCATGGAAAACACTCTTTATAGAATAGAATTATGGAATTTAAAACAATGTGTGGCATGACAAACCCAATCAGATCCGTGCAGTATGTTCATGTTTAATTTTCGTGAGGTTCTTCTGTGATAGTGACAACTGTACCTTTGACCTTGCTGAAGGAGGGAGGCATGAAGCTAATCAGAAGATTTTCTCTAATGAGCTTTCACAGAAAAGTTTTCCAAATAAAATGAAGAGGGGCTAACATGGCATATCAAGTTTCTCTAATTTTCAGGAAACAAAGGTACTAATTTGCTTTACTCTTAGAGATTCTTAAAACGCTTCTTTTCTAACTGCATTATGAATATATAATCAGAGGACCAACGTTCAATATCTTTTTTTATGCCATCACTTTAAAAAGTGCAGCCATGCTCCCCACTTAACTATCTGGAGTTGAGAAACTATCTGGGAGTTAGCCCAGAAAGAGTGTGAACAGCTAGAGCCAATATTGACAAATCCTTATTCTCCAACCCCACAAGTCTCTCTCCTAGGTAGGCTCATGGGGCTCTCAATTATACTCTATCATTCTTACTTTAGACACTAGTCCCACTTCTTTGGTTATCTATATTCTGTGCCCACAAATCAGAGGCATCAAGTTAAAAAAGCTGAAAGCTTCTAGAATGGCACTATCCAGTATGGTAGCCAGTAGCCCCATCTAGCTATTGAGCACTTAAAATGTGGCCAGTCCTAACTGCAATGTGCTGTAAGTATAAACTACACATCAGATTTTTGAAGACTTAATATGGAAAAAAAAGACTGTAAAATATTTTTTTATAGTGGCAGCATATTGAAATAATATTTTATATATATTGGGTTAAATATAATAGTAAAGTTAATTTTGCTGGTTTCTTTTTATGATGATGATTATTTTTTGAGACAGGGTCTAACTCTGTCACCCAGGCTGGAGTGCAGTGACACGATCATGGCTTACTGCAGCCTCAACCTTCTGGGCTCAAGTGATCCTCCCACCTTAGCCTCCCGAGTAGCTGGGACTACAGGCACATGCCACCACACTTGGTTAATTTTTACATTTTTTTGGTAGAGATGGGGTTAGCCATGTTGCCCAGGCTGGTCTCAAACTCCTGGGCTCAAATGATCTGCCCACCTTGGTCTTCCAAATTGCTGGTATTACAGGTATGAGCCACGGCACATGGCCTATTATTATTTTTAATATGGCTACTAGAATTTAAAAATTACATATGTGATTTGCCTTACTTTCTTATTGGTCAGTGCACTTCTAGAAGCAGGTCTACTCATCATTCATTCATTTAGTGAATCAACAAATATTTATTGGGTATCTTTTTTGTGTTTGAGTGTGAGGTTAGGGGATAAGAATGCAGCAGTAAACGTGTTCCTGCGCTCATGAAGCAAATATACCTATTGTAGCACAAAAGAGATTGCAAAAAACAAACCCAAATGGACCCCAGGTATCTAAAAGCAGGGGATATTTAATCAGGAATATTCTAGGTTACTAGGGTTATTATGGCTATTAGAGTTAAGGTCCAGGATTACATAAGTTAGCATCTAACCCTTATTGTTATAGGGCAGAATCTAATATAATAGGTGTTGATGGTATAAATGGCCATCCTTGAGTTAGTCAGGAAAAGGTTACATGCTATGGGCTCTGTTCTAGTCTACTTTGTACTGTGGCTACTACACATGTATATGATCTTCCTCAAGGAACGGAGATGATTTGGAGGGCAGTTACAATGTTTTTTGACCTTGGTCTCAACCCAGTGTCTCCCAAAGAGTAGGGAAATACATATGGAATTAAAATATGTCATGTGTACTCATTTTAAAGCAGTTAGGTGTATCATATACTATAAAAAGAGTTCTTCCCCAAATACCTAAAAAATAAAAAGTTTAGCACTTAAACTGGTGAGTTTTAATTATTATTTTTAAAGTCCTCTTTCAGTCTATAAATTCATGCATACCTGATGGTATAAACAAAAAGTTCTGAAATATCCGAACTAAGTCATCATTCATGACTACCAGGGTTAAACATTGCAGAAGATACTGTTGGATATTGTTATTTGATGGAGGCCAGGATGATGCATCTGTCTTCTCTCTGAAGTGCTTTACAAAACATTATGAGTTGTCAGCAAAACAAAACACAAAACATGAGTTGCAAAGGGAAACATTTAGCTTGCAATTCTTATTACATCTTTATTATCAGTCAAGGTCATCAGTCATATTAAAAATATATAATTTAATTCTCAAATAATGTCTTTGTTCCTCTTTTTCCTAAAGTACATTGTCAAAAGAAGTCAAAGTTGAATACATTTTGTAGCTAATATACATATGCTGACAGAGAGCACAATGTACTAAAATGAAAACAGAGATATTATTGCTTTAGAAAAAGAAACTTGGTCCCAGAGAGGAGAAAAATAGATAGTATGCAACAGTGACATAAGAAAAAAAGCAAAGTATTATTGGAGCATTGTTTCCATTTAAGTGAAAGCAGTATCTGTGATTTTTGGCTGACTGCTCTAAGTACCGTGTATCTCCTACATCAGTGCTTTGAATGTATTCCTCTATAAATGCATGTTAAATTAACTTAACATAACAGTAATAATAAAACAAAAATAACTATACAACAATCCACCATTACCAAAAGGGTAACAAGTTCACAAATAATCTACTCCCAAATTTCCAACCATGATGATTTTTAGAATTGTAGTAAGACTTCCCTTTGCAGATTTATTGAAAATGTTTCGTACTCCTACAACTTCACCTTCCCTTCCTATAAAGAGTGAAGTTCAGTTTGAATCGATTGGTGGATAATTTTTCCATTTTTCCTCAGGCATTTTGAGTTACTCCAATAAATTCAATATGGGCCAGAGGAAATCATCTCTCAGATGGGCAGTGATTGGCCAGTCAGCAGGAGAAGCTGCTTATGCCTTGTTTGGTACATTGTGAAAAAACACACTTTAATAAATACGCAGTCATGCCTGAGTACCCATTCTCCATCCCGCCACCCCCTAGTATGGCAAAAATCTGGTCAGAGTCCATTTGGGTATAATTCCATGGTTCTTTGGATCCCAAAGCTTCCAGAGTGCTGGCTGATCGGGGAGTATACAGTCGGTCCTGGGTGGCAAATGTCCCATTTTTTAAGTACCAGCGAGTCCTTCTGCAGAGTTGCAGGGCCACAGTCTCCACGAATGAAGATGGCTTTTCTTAGCTGCCCTGTGACAACTGGGTTTCACATTTCCTGAAACTAGATCTGTGGAAGGAGTCCCTGAAATTAAGAAGAGAGAGGGAAGAGAGGGAAAGAGCATACAGAAGCAAGAACGATTAGCCTTTTAGAAAGGGTTGGGGATGGATCACCCGGTAGAAATGGACATCAGTCATGGAGAACTCAGCAAATAATAAGTGAAAGGTCTGCGACCCCTTCACACTGTGCCAAAGCAAACATACAAACCAACCAGCCAAACAGAAAAACCAACACAGGCCATCCTTCAGCCCTGGGAATACCCGGGCACAAGACCAACACCAAGGTGTCTGGGAGAGATCAAGGAGCAAGGATGGGGAGGATGGAGGCAGAATGAATCACGCTCTGGTAGCCTTTCTGATTGCAGGACCCTCTTCTACCCTTTGGAGGTTCTGCAGCTCCCCAAGTGCAGCAGAGCATGCCCCAAGGTGCTGGGTCCCATGTGCTGCCCTTTATCCCCCAGGAAGAGGCCTCCTCTGCCCTGTTCTTACCTCTTTTGACTCTCAACTCTGAATATTGGCTTGTACAGTTCTGGAATTTTCCGCTCGATCATTGGCCTGAGGTTCTCTTTTAGCTTGCTATAGTTCTTTTTGAGTTCCTGCTGATATTCCCTCTGGTCTGCCGTGATGAGACGCTTGTTTTTCTCTACGGCTTCACCACATCTGAGATGAAAATATCAGTGTGGGAGAAATAAATGACTTCGAAGTGCTTAGAAATCTGAGAACAATGAAACTACTTACGATTTTTTGAATAACTTTAAGAGCGCTTTCAATCTGGGTGACATACCGGGGTTACCTGTGGAGCTTTTCAAAATGCAGATTTCTGGGATTTATCTCAGACTTAATGAATCACAATTGCTGAGGGGTAGCACCCAGAAATCTCTGTGTGTATGTGTGTGTGTGTGTGTTTTTTTTACCTTATTTTATTATTTTTTGAGATGGGGCTCACTCTATCACCCAGGCTGGAGTGCAGTGGCGTGATCATGGCTCATGGCAAACTTCGACCTCCTGGGCTCCAGTGATCCTCCCACTTCAGCCTCCTGGGTAGCTGGGACTACAAGTGTGGGCCACTGCTTCTGGCCCAGAAATGTCTAATTGTGAAAAGTTGCCCAGGGGATACTGAAACCAACCTAGCCAGAACTGAGAACCTCTGATGTGCTATGTGCCAGAAGAAGTTTCAAGAAGTTTTACCAGCATTATCTGTTTAATTTTCCCAACAACCCTAAAAAGTCAGCATTTATTTCTATTTTGTTCCTGAAACTCAGAAATGTTAGGATGCTTGCCCAAGATAACACTGTGAGGAAGTGATGGATCTAAGAGTCAAACTCAAGACACTGCAGAATGGAAGCTGTTATACTTACAAAATCTCACTGTGATTTACAGCAACATGGCAGACAGAGCAGATGGCATTCAGCCCCCTCCTGCTACACACATATGGAATTGCTAGGAAAGCACAGCAAAAACTTGTTGAAAGAGAAAGGGGAACACCAGGTGCCAGAAAGAAAGAGAAAAATCAAAGCTAGAGTGATTGCAGGAGCAGGTGGCAAGGCAGCTGTCAGTAGGACTGTCCATTAAGATTTTAGGACTGCATATAGGTCTATGTGCAGAGGGCAAGGGGTTTCAAAGCTCACACAAGGTTAGTGATCCGGCCTTGGCCAGGGCAAAGGGAGATTCTGGATATACCACCTGCATATCGTCCAGAGTCTTGAAAAGCTACCCCATCTATGAAAGGGGGTTTAGAAAAATGCTGCAAGCTATCCAGTGAGGCAGAATGAAACTTGCTATCAGCTTAGGGCCATTCATGGGAAAGAAAGTCATCTTGAGAAATGGAAATTCTAGGCTTGCACCACACGTGGTATAAGTTACAAATGTACATTCCTTGACTGTATGTGCTTCAAAGTGAGTAAATAACTTAAAAGCCAGTCCAAGATTATTGAAATTGCTACGGCTCAGACAAACCAACATAAAGTTGCTCTGGAGGAACACATTCTCAATCAGGGCATATGGGCCACTCCTGCCAAAGATGAGCTCACAATAAAAAATTATAAACCATATGAGGAAACCAACCACCAAGAGGGAAAACTATGCATCAAACAAAAGAATTAGTCCAATAAGAATTAGAGATAATAAAACAATGTAAAAAACCAAAGTTAATATAGAGAGGTAATAAAATGTATAAAATCCTAAGTAACCGTGTAACTAGAAAAAAATAAATAAATAAAAGGTACACAATCCATGATAAAAACAAATAAACAGGGAATATGAAAAAAGAGATCAGGAAAAGTTCAGAAAAGGACCAAACAGAACTTCTAGAAAAAAGAAAAATGCAGTCACTAGGCTGGTGTGGTGCCTCATGCCTGTAATCCTAGCACTTTGGGAAGCTAAGGTGGGTGGATTGCCTGAGCTCACAAGTTAATGACCAGACTGGGCAACATGGCAAAACCCCATCTCTACAAAAAATATAAAAATTAGCTGAGTATGGTGGCAGGTGCCTGTAGTCACAGCTACTTGGGAGGCTGAGGTGGGAGGATGGCTTGAGCCTGGGAGGTGGATGTTGCAGTGAGCCAAGATCATGCCACTGCACTCCAGCCTGGGTGACAGAACCAGACCTTGTCTCACCAAAAAAAAAAAATAAAAATAAAAATAAATAAATAAATAAATTTAAAAAAAAATGCTGTTGCTAAAAGAGAAAAACCTCAATGGACAGGTTAAAGGTTAAATAATAGACTAGACATAACTGGAGAATTAAATGTATGACAGATCCAAGGAAATCACCAATGAGATTTAAAAAATAAAATATATGAAAAAATTGGTTAAGAGACATACACATATAAGGCAGATCCAACACACATCTAATAGAATCTCCAAGAGAATGGAAAATGAGAGGGAAGCAATATTTAAAGAGATAACAGCTGATAATTTTCTTTTCTTTTTTTTTTTTTTGAGATGGAGTCTCACTCTGTTGCCCAGGCTGGAGTGCAGTGGTGCAATCTCGGCTCACTACAAGCTCCGCCTCCTGGGTTCATGCCATTCTCCTGCCTCAGCCTCCCAAGTAGCTGGGACTACAGGTGCCCACCACCACACCCAGCTAAGTTTTTGTTATTTTTAGTAGAGATGGGGTTTCACCGTGTTAGCCAGGATGGTCTCAATCTCCTGATCTCGTGATCCACCCGCCTTGGCCTCCCAAAGTGCTGGGATTACAGGCATGAGCCACCGCCCCCAGCTGATAATTTTATAGAGTTGAAGAGAGATATAAATCCTGTAATGAACAACAATAGTTCTATATCCAGCCTTGTCATGGCAAAACTGCAGAGCATTAAAACAAAGAGAAAATCTTTAGAACTCATCATGGTTATCTGGCTTGTGGACTGTTAAACCTGGTGTTTTCCCTGTCTCCTGCATAGTATGGTACACACCAAAGAAGCAAATCACGTTATTTAAACATGATAAAGTCTTGTCTTTTGTTTTATACTCTTCTACCCAAGGGAACTTACAAATCAATAAACCTTAAAGGGATAGAATAATGACTGTATGTTTCCTAACATGTAATAATTAGTAATAATTATATTATCCTTCAAATGAATAAGATTTGGGTGATCAATATGGCTTACATTATTTTCCTAATAGTGGTACTAGATTTGGGCTACATTATGGAGATACCCAGACATTGTTATCAAATCCTCTTAACACTGAACACATTTTCAGGATGACAGTCAAAGAGGAAGAGGATGGCATGTGGCAAGGAAAAGCTACCTGGCTAGGCAAAAATAAACCTACGACCACAGCTTCATCATGGAATTAGCCTACTATAGAAGAAGGACTTGATTTAACTCACACAGAATCCAAAAGAACTCCCTTAACTGGATTTTCACCTATCTTTTAAGTTTGACATTAATTGAAGCAAATTATAGGATACCAAAGGTTACGAATTAAAGGTTTTAGGGAAGAAATAGAAGGGAAGGTATATGGCCTTTGAATCCTGAGAAATCTATATCACCCCTTATTATTATCTTTTTATTGCTTGTTAACTAACAGTTACAAGTACCACCATGTGTAAAATAAAATCAGTTTCAGGATGACTTCAAGGCCCAGGTTTATAACATTGGCAGATTACAGGAGGTGGGATGAGGCCTGCCAAAGCTAACAGCTAATTTGGGGAAGTCAACTCTGACAACTTTGGTAGAATTAACTAAACTCTCCTTAATCTTTGCAGAAGTAGTAGTAGTTAGCTAACACATATTCATGACTTACCATGTGCCCTTGACTGAGTTAAATCCTTTATATGCAGACAGAACTGGGGTTGAAACCAGCTGCTACTCATTAGCAGGATGACTTAACCATAAAAATCTTCAATTTTCTCATCTGGAAAATGGGGAAAATAAGCTCACATAATCTCCTAGGGTTGCTGGGAGAATTAAATGAGAAGCTGTGATAATAAGGCAGACTGGTGCTTCTGGAGTGTGGCAGATTGTATTTGCTAAAAATGGCCACAAGAATGATGTGCTCTCCTAGAACCTTGCCCATACCCCCATCAAGATGTGGGTGGTTCTTTGTGACAGCCACAATGAACAGGATGTGGTGGAGGTGGTACTATGTGACTGGCTAATAAAAGATAATATGGCCTCTGTTTCTCTCTCTGTGTACTATAGGAATTCTGAACCATCCTGTGACAAGTCTAGTTACCCTAAAGCTGTCATGTAGGAGAGACCATGTAGAAAGAAGGAGAGTTAGAGAGGAGAAGCCCCTGCTGTTTGAGTATTCTCAGCCCAGACACCAGACATCAGTGAGGAAGCATTCCGGTAATTCAAGTCCTAGCCACTGGCTAAGTGCAACTGAGTGAGAGACTTCAAGCAAAAACCACCTAGCTAAGCCCAGCCAACCCCAAGTTATAGCACAACCATTCTCATGGTCACAGTACAGCTGCTAGAGCCCCAGCCATCATGACCACATCCTAGGCAAGTATCAGGAGTAGAAATGAGGAAAGCAAAAATTATTATGTACCACAATAATAATTAAATTTTGTTTTAAGCCACTTAATTTTGAGGTAGTTTGTTACATAGCAATTAATAAATGTGGTGTTCTATAAAGACAAATATATTAATAGCTGGAGTAAAAAATTTAGATTTTATGTAGTAATATTACTTTATGTCTTTAAACTTTTATAATGCATAAAATTATTTTATATCCTTTTTCTATATTTCTTCCTTTCAGTCATTTGGGTTATATTCTCTAGTTTATTTGATTAAAATTGAAATAATTTCTACTATGTTAATTTAAATCCCTAAGCTAAAGAGGGCCATGTGCTAAATATCCCTTCTAGAGAATAGCCATATCTCTTGGAAAATGTACACAAGATCATAAAATGACACTGCAAACAACTTTTAAAAAATGGTCTTTTCTGTAACATTCTCATTAGGTCCACAAACATCTGTGCTGCTCTCACTCAGTGATACAACCATCCCAGACTTCCCTCACATCCTCTAATGCTCCCTTTGTTGGTAAATTCACTGAATTCAAGTATTTTCTTAGAACGAATATGCCTAGGGTTTTCTAGTAGTCAAAATCCTACAGAAACCAGACTGATAGGGATTAGAAAGGGCAAGAAGTTGCACCTCTGGAAAAGGATTTCTGGCTTTTAATGACAGTAACATTTTGGGGCCTCC